TCTCTGACAGTTTTCCTGAATATCAGTGCAGAGGGCACCTTCCTACAACCAAATGAAGTGACTTGTTGCGAGAGTGAGGATTATGTGTGAACAGCAACAGCATTTGGCCTCGGGCACAGCCCTTGGTTTGCTACATGGTGCTAAATTGCTTACCTTCGCAGAAAGCCCGTGCTTCCATTTGAGCAGAGCCCATCAGCACCTCTCACTTTCCATCCCTCCCAAGTGACCAAACTCTTATTATGCCACGTTAGTAAATCAAAGGTGCAGTCTGAGAATGATAAAACCAAAACAAACCCTTGCATTGTGACTCTAAGAGCGATCATTGTAATCATTACAAGTACACAGTGCCATTTTCTACCTGCCAGAGGCTGCTGGTCCCCCTGGATGGAGCTGCTGTTGGATACCAGCCACGGTGATTGTACAGGGAACTTCTGCAGGGGAGAAGAGGGCAGAGATCCTCTGGAGAGGATCCTCAAAGCTCGCCTGAAGTCTCTTGTTTTCAGCTGTACCTAACCACTTCAGTCACTGTCAACAGACCTCGCAACTGTTAGTCTTTAGAAGAATGTTTGTGTTGTGTAAGTTGAATAGTTTCAACATTCCCAATGATTGACACTGTATCATTTGCAGTTCTTGGACTGAGAATAGCATACAACCATTGAGCTACACAGTGTTATACTAGAATGCTATTTAAAAAAAGAGAAAAGGATAAAAAAATTCAATGCCATAAATATCCAGGAAGCAATTTCTGATTTGGATCTGAATTTCTGAGAATAAAATATTTAATATTGTCTTATCCCAATCAATCCAATTAAAGCAGATGCTATACCCGTATACTTAGTATATTCCATGGCACACTCCCTTTTAGGTGGTTACTTGACAGCCTGTTCAACAGATAAGCTAGTATGGGGTTTGTTGTTTCCTTTTTAAAAAACAAACAGGAGTATTTTGAACTTAAAATGGGGTACCAAAGGCAGGATCTGCTTTAAAATGTCAGAGACTGCAGAGAGCACTCTGGTTTGTAAAGCCACCTACAGAAACTCCCAAGGAAATAAATTTGGTGTTTGCATTTGGATGTCTTACCTTGGGTGATACAGAAAACCTCCCACCCTAGCAGTTGTAGCACACCTGCATGGGCAGCTTCTCCGGGGCCTGAAGCCACACCCCTGCCTTGGGGCTGCTGGATGGGATGGGGCTCCGGGGTGGCCGAGCCAGATGTACCAGCAGCACTTGGCTGCTTTGGGGTGCCCCAAAGGTGCTGTCAGTCCCACTGCCCAGTCCTTCTCTGCCTTCTGCCTTTTCTTTCTCCTTCCTCTATGTCTCTGCCTTCTAGAATTGTCACCCATTCACTGTGGAGCATTCAAGCAAAGATGCTTTCTTTGATGCCCCTTGTTGCCATCAGGAATGTGCTGACTAAAGCAGCAGGTGTTGCTGATGGGGAAGCAACCAAATTGAGGGGTCTGTCTGAATGCAGAGCATGGACTGTTTTGTGATCAAAAGACACCTTTAAACTGACAGTCAGTCTCTCTCTGGTGCTCAACTATGTTTATAAAGAAATGTGCTATTACCTGAGCCCTAATTCAGTGTAAGTAAGAGTAGTGGTTTTGTCCCCACATGTTTCAGGGTGGTCCTTCTCAGCAGGATGGGGGGACTATGGGTTCTAGAGCACTATGCTGGGACATTTGGTCTAGGATGCTGGATAGTAAGTGAGCAATGCTTGTACAAACAACACTGGAATCAGGTTTTGGGTCAGGTGAGGGGCAAGTAGTTGGCTAATTGTTGCAATTAGTTTCTGTGCCAAAGAATTGGTTGGGGCCCCACCTGTGTGTAGGGGAGAGAGGGACAGGGGCAGGCTGTGCTGGGGTTTAGGTCCCCACGTTGAAGCTCCTGCTCGTGCACTGCTCAGCCCTGTCTGGAGACTTGGTATGGAGATGATACAAGGGATAGGAAAAGGGATAGGAAATGGGGCCACTGGTACTGGAGAAGGGAGTAGAGGAAAAACTATCAGCAAATAGGGAAATATTTTGTGTGTGTCTTTTTTTCAAACCTCTTCTGTCCCAAGGCAAGAAGCTTACTTGGATTTTAAGGAAAATGAGAGTCTATGTAAGACATGGATCTTTTGATGTTTGCAGGGATGTTTTGAAATACTAATGACGTAAATATTTTTGTATGAATGTGCATGCAGTGATTATGTTATTTCTCCATTACGGTATGGGCTCAGATCAGCTTCCTATCAATTGCTTATATCCTTGCGGAACATAGCACTTGAGTTCAGTTTTTTAAAATGTTAGTCTGAGTGATTCAGAAGTTTAGGGACCAAACCTGTAAACTCATTTGAACCAAAAATGTAACAGCAAATGCCTTCAGGCGTGCATGGATGAGCAAAATTTAAACTGGAGAACAAAAGGCATATAAAAGTGGGGAAAGGGAAAAGAGCCAGTAAAACCAAATGGTTGCCAAGAGCAAGGGTTCAGAAAGCAGATGAATTGGTGTCTGTTCTCTCAGGTTAAGTGATGCTCATTTCCTTTTCATTAGTAGCCATGTCAAGCACTCAAATTTTGCAGCACATGATATGAAGGCTACTTGGCAATTTGCTGTGAGTGAGTCGGGTTGTGTGGAGTTGGTCCATAATAATTTTTCTAAATATTTCTCATGTAAGGTACTGGCTTTATCAAATCTGAAGTATCTTCCAAGACTCGAAATGTTGATTTTGGAATTTATTTATAATTTCTTGGCTGTTGGAAGAGAGAACTAAAAATAAAACTTTGAATATCCATTCCAAAGAATTAGAGTTCTTGTTTTGATGGGAAAATTTTTTTAAGTGGTAATCTCTGACCAGCCACAGAGCTTTAGGTGGTCTCTAAACCCCTTCAAGCCCTGACTTAATTTACTTTTTTATTAGAGAGCTGCTAATGCACTAATTTTATCAGAAACCTGTGTTGGCTAAACTGTGTTTGCTTCTCTTCATTTTCTATCAAATAAACCTTACCTTAAAAACAATGAATAAATATTTTTTCATTAATGTGCTCTTAAAAATCTGTCCACAGTTATTAAAACCCAGATATTTCAGAAACATTTTTTTATTTTATAGCGTTGCCCTTGTCTTAACAAAATGATGCATGGGGGTCCAGATGGGCCAAGATAATTTTAGGGTTTGTTCTCAGTTACTTAGGCTGTGGTAGTTGCAGTTTCACAGGGCTCATGGGCAGTTTTGCTTCAGACACTCTTTGGTGGGTTTTGTCCAGGAGCTGCAAAAGACTTTCTAACTGCATTTCTGTCAGGAGCCACCTTCTGTGTATATAGAGGTTTAAAAGAAAATGTTCTGAATTGTATAAGGCGGCCTGTCTCTATATAAGACTGATACAGCATCAATCAAGATTTAAAACTAACTGGCCACAAGCTGGCAAGCTGGTATCTGAGGGACTGCTGTTGCTGCTAATTCCCATATTTTATAAAAGTAAGTTTATTTTAAGGAAAAAAAAAACCCAAACAACAAATCTTACCTTGAAAATCACCATCAAAAGTGCGTAGCTTGTTCATTAGTTGCTAAATTTTGCTCTGTAACTGCTACTCATTAAATGTAATGCTTTGTAACCAAAGCCATGGGGCCAGAGGGGGCCTCAGAGAAAAAAAAATAGTTAACCTGCTTTTGCCACGGTTTCTTCCTCCTTATCCTGGCACAAACAATAAAATTAGTTCAGCATTCAGGCAGCTCCACTTCAGTTGGTGTTTTTCTCTAAACTGCATTTTGATCAGGCTCAGTACCAGATGTATGTCCAAAGGTCTTTCATTCCAGCAACAGAAAGAACACTACCCTGAAGGAAGTTTTTAAGGCAATACTTTCCATTGTCTTAGAAGCCTAGGTTCAACAGAAGACATGTCTTAGCTGATTTCTGTCCCTTTCTTGTTAACCCAAGCAACGCAGATGACAAAGAGCAGTGGTGTGTGGTGTTTATGAGATACTTTGGAATTTGGGGGAGAGAACAGGTGATTCTTTTTTACTTTTTTTTCTACTGGGGCTCTTCACTTTTTTAGATTTCATGTGTTCTTCTGCAGCAGAGAAATCTACTGAAGGAGTAGCATATTTTCATCCGTAATAAAGGGACCAGATTCTAGGCTAATTAATACTAGGGGCTACTGGCTACTGTTGTGCTGTATTGTGTGGTCTGCATTTCTCTGTTCAGATCCTAGGGAAGCAGGAATGATCTGTTCACTTAAATGCCGCTACCACAGAGCAAAAGTCTAATGAAATGGGAGCTGCTTGGTGCAGGTAACCAGGAGTTAACTCTATACCCTGGCACATGCTGCTTGCACAAGTTTGAGCAAGTGCCTTTCTTAAAGGATGCTTTTTGATTATTAGCACCCTAATAATAGCTGTAAAGGCTCAATTCCAGAAGGAGGTGCTCTGCAAACAGCTAAATAACCAAATCTGTCTTTATCAGATGGGCTAAACTAGATGTGTCTACCTCTTCCTGGTTCTTCCTTTTCTGAGATGTTTCATAGGAATGGACTAGTGACTGTGCAGCTCACTTCAAGGCACAGCAATCACTGTGCCAGCATGTTCCCATTGCCATTTCAGCAGTTACCAGCTCTGATCCACCCACCTGATAAATCCTGTACACCCCTTGCTGTTCATCTTAATCAATCCCAGGTTCTTCCTATCTCTGCATATAAAAAGCCCATTTTTTCTTGTACCAAAGCAATTTTGTGTAATATTCAGTACACAACTGTTTGAGCAATTGTTTCAGCGTGATTTATCATAAGCATCTGTTTATATTAAAGCTTCATGGAATTCTCAGAACTTCTACATTTTTTTTTTCAACATGAAAAGGTCTCAATGATTCTATGTACAACATACATAATGTAACCGAATTTATCAGCTCAAGTAATGGGGAACTAACAGAGAAACAGCATTTCCTATGTAACTATCCTTTCAAGGGATAGTTCTGCAAAGCACTGATTGCAAAAGCAATTTGTCAAAAACAGCTTGTGTAATGGGAGGGTGGTCTCCAGCCTTCTTTCAAGTCAGCAGGGAATGTTTTTCATGTTCATCTTGCATATTCAGAGGCAAAGATGATGAGCTGTTGTGGAGTCGTCCTGCAGCTGCTGCTCTCTTGTGCCTGATGAGCTCTGATTCACAGCAATTGCTTTTTGAGCCTTGCTGGTTCTTCACGTGTCTCTTCAGATAACATTTTATGGAGTATTTGAACATCAGATAACTCAGTTCACTTAGATTTAATACAATGCACAGGCATGAAGTTGCCACCAGAAAATAGAGGAAAATCATCTTCTCTGTGGGTTTGGAAATATAACAATCTACAGTACTGGGACATGGTTTTATGTCACATTTCACAAGACGTGGTATTTTGAATCCATTGTACAATTTATAGAACAGAACAAGAAAAAATATTTCAAGTCCTGTTTTTAAAATGAGGCTGATTAGGTAAGTGCACAGCAATCCACCATCTATCTTTCCTGGATTTTTGTAAAGTTTCTGGTTGTGGTGTTTCTCTCTGTTCTCTCTGTAAGCAACATGAAAGACAACCAAGAGTGAAGGGGTGGAGACCATGATTAATTGCAAAGCCCAAAATCTGATGTGAGAGACAGGGAAAAAATGGTCAAAGCAGACATTTTCACAACCAGGCTGCTTGATATTGCACTCAAATTCATCATGTTCGTGTTTCCAGATGTTTTCTGCGGCAGCAACGTAAACCAGTAAGCGGAACAGGAACACAACAGCTACCCAAATTCTTCCAATTCCTGTTGAGTGTTTATTCACTCCACTCAGCAGATCACGTAGGAACGCCCAGCTCATTTTTCTCATCAAGGAAAGATGGAAATGCTATATCAAAGAAACACAAGATCAGAGAGATGCATCCTCTTGGGTGAAGACAAATGGGACATTCATTGAACATGAAATATAACCAGTAACTGAAACAATTTAAAATTATTAAGCATTTAGAAGTAATTTCATATTATTAAGCATTTACATAAGAACAGCAAACTGTTCTTATTTCTGATAATTTAATAATTCTGGTACATTCTGATGCTATTGAACAAAATTTATTTGCTGTTTAAATACATTTTGTCAATTAGGCTGAAGTCTAATCATTGTGTTAAGCTGTCCTCTGTAAGAAATGTGCCTGTTCTCCCTGAGGGTCTCCTGACTGTCAGGTAGGGCTTTCTCTGCAAGTTCAGGCTGACACTACCACTGAATTACACTCAGCTTAGCCCTGTCAGTTATGCAAATACTACACACAGTCAAGTCAGATTTCACTTTCAAATTTATGCATAGGAACCAAGTGTCCCATACTAAGTTGACTACAAAAATGCAAATTGATTGCTTTTTGTCTGTGGGTAAACTTGTGCAATATTTTAAATATTTTCCTGCTTCATTGGATTTTATTTACTGTAATTCTTATCATTAGTCCAAAATACGTGTGCATTTTTTTTTTGTGTGTGTGTGTGTGTGTGTGTTACAAGTTCTTATCTGCACAAGTCTTTCCTGTCCTAACTCTAGAACACTTCTTTTGGAAGAGCTGCCTAAGGAGCCACTGGCAGGGAGACTCATCAGTGTCAGAAGAAGACCTGAAGTACCCACCAAGAATATGGTGCTCACCTTTGCACCTGGCCCCATCTCCTCAAAGGGAGTCCACCCTTGCAGCTGGACTCCCCATCCCAGTCCCAATCTGACTGGATCCTTGGGGGTATCAAGCTCCTTTTTTTGTAACAGCAAAAAGTGGAGGTATTCTCAGCACACAGAGTAGCTGGGAGACATGAGGTGAGGAGAGAAATCAGAAGTTTCCATGTGTTATGTCATTTAATGTCCTCATCCCATCTTCTGCTTCTGCAAATTCTGCCTAGCAGGAGAGAAAATGTGCCCCTCTGTGGCTGCAGTGGCACACACAAATCCCACTGACCTGCTGTAGCTGCAGGGACTGCTGATGGAATGAACAAGTTCATCTGCGGGCAAATTTGAGTAGTAATCAGGCCACGGCATCACAAAGCTTAATGGAAAAGGTATTGAGGCATTGGAATGGGCTGCCCAGGGAGGTGGTGGGGTCACCATCCCTTCAAGGTGTTCTAGAAACAACTGGACGAGGCATTTAGTGCCATGGTCTAGTGGATGAGGTGGGCATTGGTCAAAGGTTGGACACAGTCTTGGAGGTCCTTTTTGACTTAAATGATTCTGTGATTCTGTAGGGCTCAACACAGATGGAAAGCTCAGTGCTTGTTTTGCTGTCCCTCAGCTCTACAGCCCTTCATGACCTCTGCCTATGGTCAGGTTCTGCTGGGAAGCAAGGTTATTTGGATATTCCTGCATTGCTACCACTAGAGCTGGGCACTGGCTTGAGGAGCTGAGGGACAGCTGCAGAAATTAATATATTCCTTATTTATACTGCCAAGAATGGTTACCAAGCTGCTCCTTTATGCTGCAGATAAAAAAGATAACAGGGAAATACCAGCTTATATCCTTTCAGACATACGCTCCTATGCTTTTAAATATGTTTGGCAGAGTGGTTACTTTTTCATTAAAGGGCTATTCCTGTCTTCCACAAACAGAGTTCAAGCAGAAGTTTAAATCAAACTTTTGAAGACATGAGCTTCAAGTTTTAATGCTTTCTAAATAAGCAACACACAGTCACAGCAGTCTCAAAGGAGCTGAACAGCAGGCATGAACACACCACTATGTAATAAATCACAGGCAAGGAAACAAAGGATTCACTGGGAAATGTTACCACATGCGTGTGCATCTTGTGGATGATCTGTCCTGTGGAAATTTGAAGGAAAACCTCAAGAGGCCTCTTCTAAGTCTAAGATGTGCACAAGGACCACTGGAGGGAATTCTGAATTTTGTTATTCCATGGAAAAACAATTGTGGCTGCAAGGGGGCTTTTGCTGATGGCCACTATAAGTGCACCATCCCTTTCTAATGCAAAAAGCCTGATTTCACCTATCAATGCATGGCTGGAGTTACACCAGTTCTGAGCCTCCCGCTGAACAGAAATTAAAGAGATGCTGGATCACCAGCAAGGCACAAAAATTAGTGGGAACCAACACTGGTAGAAATCAGGACATGGTTATACCTAAATATAGATTGAGACATTTACCTTGAGGTCTCTTTTTCCCAAAGCTGAGCTGCTACTTCCTTAACTGAGCAGCAAGAGGGATTAGAAAAGATCAACTTTACACTTTCTTTGCCAATCCCACATTGAGAAGAATATAAGAACAATATAAAGGAGAATAAGAAGTCCTGACTTATTCTTATTTTCCTGAAGAAAATAGGGATCAAGAATTTTACTAAAGCCAACAGATCCTAAGCAAGGGGCAAATCCAGCCAGACAGAAGATTGGATGGATGAAATTCCTGCAAAGCTAATTTGAAAGAGAGCAACACATTCTGTTACCAGAACAGAATCATCAGGGATTCCACAGAACTGAAAGTGGTTCCTGGTCTGTCTGCTCTGTTGAAGAGAAACTAAAATTTATTGAAAGACTGCAGGGCAGGTCTTGTGGCCCACAGTGCTTCTGTAGCCAGAGGTCTGCAGGGTTATATTTTTTCCAGTTGCAGCCTTAACTTGATAATGAGAAGTGGCTGTAGAAAACAACCTTCAGCTTCAAACCTAAAGGGCCACAGAGCCTCTTTTGTAGTATTGTTTGTAACTAGCACAGCTCCCCTGTTCAAAGGAGCTGCAAATGTGCTTTGAAAAGGTTATGTTTGCTTTATGACCACTGTTGCTATAGATGTAGATGTTAACTGATGCTTTTGCATCCTTTGAAAATACAATTAATTCACTGAAGCATTGCAAAGAACACATGGAATGGGAAAAAAAAGAAAATGGACTTCAAAGACACGGAGTTACTCAACAGGTAAACAAGAGAAAATTGATTTATGGGACAGCACAGGCACAAGACTGATAAGGGGTCAAGTTAGCTCAGTTAGAGAAGATACATTAAGTGGGCTGTATGAAATTCAGAGCAAGGTGAGGATTCAGACAACGAAAAAAGAAAAATCATCTAGTGAGCACATAGCTGGGCAGTAGGAAAAATATGGCAGTGGTATTTTGTAACACTTAATGAAGTGGCAGTACACATAGCAGCAGATGCTGAGTAGTGTTGGGGCATGATGCTTTAGCAAAATTGTATTCTGGCTAATGTAAGGACAAGAGAGGAAAAGCGTGATCCAAATCCTTGCACCCAAGGAGAGATTTATTAGGTTCATTTTGTGCAGAAAGAAACAAAGGGAGTCAAGAAGGGAAGCTAGCTAAAGAAATTGAGTAGATTGTGGGAAATGTAGATGACATCAATTTGTGTTGGGGTAATGTCCAATGCAGAAAATGAAATTACTCAAAGTTTTTAAAAAGTTACAAAAGCATTAAAGGGGGATCTCCTTGGCACTGTGAACATAAAGACCACAAAATAGACTTGGCCTCTACTGGAAATTAGCAAGGAGGCATTAGAGAGAGTTAAACAGTAGAAGGTAGGTTATTTGCACCAAGTACTCAAGGAAACATTAAATGGAGCAAGAAGTGAAAAGCAGGGATTTGTGGTTAGACTTACTTCAACCCTCTGCTCAACACACACATGCACACCCCAGTTTGAAGCAAAGCTGAAGATTAGAAATACGTTGATTTGTTTTTCTCATTACTAGCTGAAGTGTGAGTGATAAGCACGTAAACAAGATCTGCCAGTGAAGAAATAGCAAATAAACTCTCCTCCTCATCACATACATCCTTTATTCCCTATATGGGATTTAAACACCCCCACCAACATACACATACACTTTGTACTGCTCATGAGAGGCACAAATGATCAGAAGAGGCTTCCCACCCCCTTTCCATCACATTTATCAGTGACTCGATTTTCCCTCTTGGGGTTGGGCACATGTCCTGGTGAGCAAACAGAGTAACCTGAATGCACCATTAACTTCTGAGTGTGCTGAATGTACTTTATTGAGTAAAGTGTTTGAATAATGCTATTGTTGTTGGATATATTCATCAAATATTAATTTCTGTCATTCACTGATGCCTACAGGAGGTTGGCTAATGTGCATTGAGTAATGCATCCATTGAAAAGCACAGTGCTCAGAGAATTACTTCACCTAGATTTCAATCAGCTCTGCTAATTTAATTACTTTAAAAGCAGAAAAGGTATTTTTGTGTGGAGGAAAATTGCAGGCAGAAGGCAGTGACAGGAAAGTAAGAAAATGCAAGAACTGAATAATTGGAGAGGAAGTGGGGAAGCATCCTAAGTGTTAGAGGCACAAAGGGCAGGCAAGTTGGAACTCAAAGAGCTGGCAAATTACAGGAAGAAGGCACAGTATTTTGGGAAATGGAGATGGAACAGTGAGAAACAAGAGAAAGAATACAAGCCTCTGAACAGTGGATCTATCAATTCTGTACAAGCAAGCTAAATTATCCTCACAGTTTGATGGATGGAAGAGCTCCTTTTTCTGACGTAAACATTGCTGGGGAGTATTTGCTGCACCCACAACTTATCTTTATTTATTTATTTATTTATCTTTTTTTTTTTTTTAATAACAGGAAGACAGAGAACTATAAATAGTGACAAAACATGATAAAGAAGAGAGCAGAAGTAGAAATTACAGAGGATATAGGACCATAAAAAAGCAGAGCTGGTAACAATCTTTAGAGTCCATTCTCTCCTTGATTTTTTACACATCAATCAAAACATCATCACAGCAATTTTTTTTTCTTTCCCCAAACACCAAAGATCCTCCCAGTGTTATGAGGAAAAGAAAAAACAAGTTCTGGCACAATGGTTTCCATAAACAACCAAACAAATAATGAAGCTTATCTTCAGGTGTTCATTTAGTAACTGCATTTTGCCCTTATCTTTTCTGTTTGTTGATATAAGGAGGCATTCATCCATTTTATGGTTGCTGAGTCTGTTTCATGGACTGCCTACTGCTTCCTTACTGACTACCAGAGGTGTGAGGTCCACAGGCTGAGAAACACTGATCTGCTTTGTTCTCTGGCCCTAAAAAGGCTTAGCTGTGCAGAAACTGTCTATTCTTAAGTTGATGGAAGCTCCACTAGCCCCCTCAGCATGCTGCTCTCATTACTCATTACTCGTTACTCATTACTCAGTGCTCTGCTAGATAAGAGGAGGGATCAGGAATCCTCCTGGGAACACCAAGGAACAGTATCACTTGATTCAAAGTCACATTACCAAGCTGCACATGCACCAGCTGTGCAAACTGCTGCACCTCTGCAATAGGAGCTGAAAAACTCTTGCTACAAGTCACTAACCTTGCAATGTCTTTGGTTCTTGTTCAATGGTGAGAGTGCCACAGTAATCTTCAGGTCCTTATGAGAGAGTCAGCAAGAGAAAACAGAAGGCATAAAAATTAACTTTGCCTTCTTCAGACAACTCACTTCTTTTTATAAAATAAGTAAAGCTATAAGATTAATGTAGTAGTGACACTTATTTTCAAGGCTCTTCAAAAACTAGCCAGGTAGAACCTGACAACCCATGAGCAAACACAGCCCTCCTGGGTCTGTGTCCTAGCCAAGCTGCTCACTACTGCCATGACCACTGCTAGTCATTCGTAATGCAGCAAAGCCCATGGTTCTAAGGCTGATGTGAGCCAAAATTTTCCCACCTATTTCATCCTTCAGGTGCTTCCAGAGGAAGGAGAGGTCCCCAAATGGCAGAGGTAAACCTACTGGCAAGAGCTTGCTCTTGTCATGCACAGAAAAAGAGTAGACACTGTAGATGCCTTAGAATGAAATTCATTGATATGAGCCCTTCATTAACATGTAGCGGGGAAAGGGCATCCTCTCCTACAAACACTGTCCATCTAGACAGAGAAAACATGTGCTGTCACGGGGCAGATGTGGTTTATCCAGCATCACTCAGCACATCAGAGGCAGAGCTAAGAAAAGAACCATGGTCTCTCATAGCCCAGTCCCTTGCTTTCACCTGCCTTAGCTTGCTGATTCCAACCTCTCATTGTTCCATGCCTATTATTAACTTTTAACTCCTTGGAGCAAGAAATAAGCTCTTCAGTCCACTGGGAGATAAACCTCTAACTACTGTGATATTAAAAGCAGAAATAAATAGGGCTTAAAATAGACGTGGTATGTAAAGACATTAGCCTAGATACTTATTTGTCAACGATCTACAGGAAGGAAAAGGAAACACTGGATGGAAAAGGGCTCAGCTGGTCATTTAGCACAATACTGGAGCTGGTTGATTTGGCTTTTACATCTGATTTTCACATGGGTTTCTGAAGTGGCTTGGGACAAAACTCCTTTTTTCCCCTCTGCTTCAGGATCTTAGTTGCCAAACACTCACTTTCCTGAAAATACAATTTCTAAACTATGGCAAAATCCCATCTTGTTTTGTATTTAGGGAAACCACAAACATCACTTAAAAAACCAGCAGCTGCTGAGTGTGATGCTTTGCCAGCTGCTAATTGCTGTGGTCTCTTCTCTGCAGCAACGAATGGGTTTTCAGAGGGCAGAAACAGTTCACTGTTTTCTTTGTTACTTGGTCAATGATGTATTTTTAAAAAAATAAGCTCAGAAGTAGCCAAAATTACTTAATTTTTAAAGCCATGATATTCCTATCTCACCTTCATGACTACAACTTCATTTCTCATCACCTGGGTGCTAAACAGATAACCCATTTCTACCACGCTCTCCTGGTGTAAACAAAAATCTTCCTCCACAGCAAATGATCTTCAACAGAAATAAATATTTGCTCAACTCAGGCTACTGTTACTATTGTCACACTTTAGTCAACTTGTAAAATAATAAAAAGAATTGACCAAGTCAAAAGATTTCCACTTGGATAATAAATTGTCACTGGCCACATCAGAGATTTTAACTGTAATATTATGAAGTACTGCAATAGTGCAACAGAAAGCAGATTATATCCATGGTTTATGTTGGCTGATGGGACACTTGCATGAGGCTACTATCAATCCTATTTAATATTAGAAAATCAACTTCTCATTCAGTGAAACTGTATTTTATAACAAGAAAATCTAACTTACCTGTGTCCCAGTGAATGATTACAGCTGGATCCCAGCTCTCTAGTGGAATTAACAATCAACAGCTCATTTCTGAGAAAGGGAGTTACTATTTTATGCCTGGAAAATGGGAACTGCTTATCTCCTAGGTAATACAAACTAAATGAGTGCAACCTGATCATCCCTGCTGGCACACAGCTCAAACCAGAACCATAAAGCGTCTTGTATCATCAGAAAGATATGAGGAAACTGGCATTTATTTGAAGTTGTAGGATTTATCTGCATCTTTTGAGTACTCATTGGCATCAGCTCAGATGCTGTACTCTGTGTTTTCACAGAAGCACAGCCTGAAGACGTGTGTTGTGAGCCTTAACTCACACCGTTTGCTCTTTGACATTTTACATCAGATTTGCATTTTGTGTTCTCCTGGGCAGGTCAGCTGTCCACAAAACACACATATTCTTTTAGGCACACATGACTCCCAACAATACACTACACAAATGTTCAGAAAAGCCTTTCTCTTAGGATTTTAACATACAGTGGTTTTCCCAAGCAAGTGAAGCCTGAGGGTTTTTTTATTGAAATGTATTTTGTTTACTGTACATGCTAATCAGTACCCACCTTGGCCTACACAGCTGAACCACTCCCCACCAGGAAGCCTACAACTACACTCTTAATACTAAGAAATGGAATAAGTGTTTATGCCCTGCCTCATGCATCTCACATCAGGGCTTTGGTGGCCAATTTTACCTGGGATGTGGCTGTTCTGCTGAGTAATATTACAAAATATGCAGAAAGACTGAACTCCTTGTCTCTTAAATGAGTTATTCACACTCTAATTTATTCATAGTATAATTTAATTAGCTCAAACTTACAGTGGCTTTTATCTGGGAATTATATGTGGATGTTTGGTAGTTTCACAGAGAGGAAACTATCACACAGACTTACACATGTGCCTGAACCTGCACCTTGGTACTGTCCCCAGAGAAGCTGATGCCTTCAGAGGGTGACTAAAGGTGTCAGAGCTTGGAGCTGGACTGCAGGTAATGCAAAGCTTCCCAGATATCTGCTGGCAGCTCATCACGGTGGAGAGCAGGAACTAGGAAGTTCCTGGAGTGTGTGGAAGGTAACTCCCTGACTCAGCTGGTAAGGGAGCTTGCCGGGGCAGTGCTCTGCTAGGCCTGCTGCTTGCTGACACAGAAGGGCTGGTGGGAGGTGTGGTGGTCGGTGGCCATCCTGGGCACAGAAACCACAAAATAATAATTTCTGGTCCTTGGTGAAGTAAGGAAGGGGGATCAGCAAAGCCTCTGCCTTGGACTTCCAGAGCATGGACTTGAGTCTGTTCAGCACACTGGTTCACAGAGTCCCTTGGGAAACAGCCCTTAAAAACAAAGGGATCCATGAAGGCTGGACATACTTTAAGGAGGAAATCTTAAACGTACAGGAGCAGGCCATTGCCATGTGCTGGAAGGTGAGCTGGTGTGGAAGAAAACCAGCCTGACTGAATAGGGAGCGTTTACTGAAACTCAGGGAAAAAAACAGTTTATGACATTTGGAAGAAGGGGCAGGAAACTCAGGAAGTGCACAAGGATGTCATTGGGTTATGAAGAGTGAAAATAAGAAAGGCAAAAGCTCAGCTAGAATTTGATTTGGCCACTGCTGTGAAAGATAATAAAAAGGGGTTTTATAAATACATTAGCAACATAAAAAGGGCCAAGGAAAATATCCATCTCTTATTGGCTGCAGAGGAAACACTGTAACCAAAGACGAGGAGAAGGCTGTAGTATCTGATGCCTTCTTTGCTTCAGTCATCAACAGAAAACCAGCGATCCTCAGGGCAACCAGCCCCCTGAGTTAGGAGTCAGGGACAGGGAGCAGAGTAGACCCCCTGCACTCCAAGAGGAAGTAGCTGGTGGACTGCTGAGCCATTTGGACCCTCACAAGTCTGTGGGACCAGATGGAATTCATCCGAGGGTAGCGAGGGAGCTGAAGAGCTTGCCAAGCCCCTCTCCATCATTTATCACGAGCCCTGGCTAACTAGGGAGGTCTCAGTAGGATGGAAGTTGGCCAGTGTGACTTATCTACAAGAAAGGTTGGAAGGGGGATCCAGGAAACTACAGGCCAGTCAGCTTGATCTCAGTGCTGGAGAAGGTTATGGAACCGAACATCTTGAGTGCCATCATGCAGCACGTACAGAAGAGCAAGGGGATTAGACCCAGCCAGCAGATGAGGGAAAGGCTGTGGATGTTGCCTACCCGACCTTCAGCAAAGCCTTTGAAACCATTTCCCAGGGCATTATCCTGGAAAAGCTGGCCGTCCATGGCTTGGACAGGCACACTCCTCTCCAGGTTTAAAACTGGCTGGGTGGCCAGGTCCAGAGAATGGTGGTGAATGGCACTGCATCCATTTGGCATCCAGTCACTAACAGTGTCCCACAGGGATCAGCCCTGTTCAACATCTTCATTAATGATTTGAACAAGGGGATGGAATGCACCCTCAGTAAGGCTGTAGATGACACTAAGTCGAGTGGGAGTGTTGATGCATTCTACTTGAGGGCAGGAAGGATCTGCAGAGGGATCTGGACAAGCTGGATCAATGGGCTGAAGCCAATTTTACAAGGTTCAAAAATCAACACTTCCTTCCCTGGAAGCATTAAAGAAATGACTGGACATAGCACTTAGTGCTACAGTTCAATTGGGATGGCAGTGTTCAGTGAAACATTGGGTTCACAGATCACAGAAACCAGAAGGGACAACAAGAATCATCAAGTCCAGCTCTTAAGTAAATGGCCCATACAGGGATTGAAGCCACAACTTCAATGTTATCAGCACCATGCTCTAACCAGCTCCTCTCAAGGTCAATGATCTGGAGGTCTTTTCTAAACTTAATGATTTTATTATTCTATGTGGTGGTATTTACATATTAAAAGAAAACTGTAAGGTGCAGAAAATCTGAAGAGTTCCAGAATACTGTGAGTCAGATTCCCTTACAACAGAGTTTGTTCTGTTGAAACGGTGAAATTTCTACCCTCTGTAGTCTTCTTAGGAGCTCTGTTCCCTGCCTGAGATTAGAAAAGGTGCCTACATTAGAAAGGATTTTAAGTTCCCACACCTTAAACTGGGAGTCCTGGTGTCAGAGGCAGAGGTTAGTCCTGGTCTGTGCCTCCACTTCCAACAGCCTTCCCAAATGCATCGCCCTGCTTACATTAGACTGAAAAATACACTTTATTATTTTTTCTCTTCTGGCAATGGACCAGGGAACAAAACTGGCATACTCCAAGGCTGAGCAATTATGACATTTCATGCGAAGAAGTCCAGAGCAATTACAAGTGAAAAGAAGTCTCCCTTTGCCCTTCCTTTTTGGAGATGCAGTCTTAGCTCAAATTTGTCTTTAAACCCCACTGTAAGGTATCGGCTGTACATTGTTGTAGTGAGAAAATTTAGTGCTACACATGTTTATCTGCTCTTCTTTTGTAGTAGAAATCACCTTTCTCTTTCTAGAGGGGATGCTTTGAGTTTTGATATTCTGTTCCCAGTCAGAACCAATTTACCCACTCAAAAATGAAAGTAGAACCAAACAAAGTGCCTCTTTCCTTCCATACTGAATTCAGTTGAAAAAGATTTATAAGCTTTATCAGTGTTTGAAGAATAACAATTGCTTTAATCTTTGCTGGAAAGCACGGCTGGGTGATTTGCTTTGTCTCACAGAGACACGGCTGGCTAACAAGTATTATAGAAGACATACAAATAATGTTATGAAACACAGAAGAGTCTTGGTTTTAAAATGTATATTGCCTTAAAACTGTTTGGGATTGTCAGTGGTAGGGTTTCAAACAGTACATGCTGCTGTCTGAAAACAGCTTGCTTTCAATGGGAACAACACAAAGGATCAAAAGCTGCTGAAAATCACCATAAGGACTTTTGAGACTGACACGAGCAGAGCAACAACCACAAAAAAACCCTCAATACCCTCAATGCCACCCCTGTCTAGCTGGTCTGTTTGTTTCTTATGCATTTATGTCCTTAATATGGCCATACTATTTCACATGCCTCAGTGCAACAATGATTACTCTCATCATTAGCTTTGAGCAAGGAGGGAAAAAGTACTTCTAATTACTAATTTTTGCTTTCCCTTCTCCCCAAGATTTGTTCAGCACAAAACAAAACAAAAAAAAGTCCCAGTTGTCAACTCCAATTAAATATTATGAAACTCATGGTGCCTAAAACATTTAAAAATAATTTTAAAAGGTGAATTTCATATTCACATATCAAAACTCTAACAAACATGTGATGGTAGTTGCCATCTCTCACTACAAGTCATACCAGTGCTGAAGCCCCAGTGTAGATGCAAAAAGAATTTTTTTTTCTGCCTACAACAGCTCTGTAACTGTGTCTCTAAAGCAAGGATAAGCTTATCAGTACCTTGAGGCACCCTATCTTTATTCTGAAGACAATGTGAAGCTCTGTTCTTGTGCAGAACTGGAAATAAGCAGGAGCTGTGAGGTCAATCAGCCAGGGCAGGAGGCACGGTGCTGTGCCCCAGACCGCACCAGGCTGGCTGTCACATGCTGACCATGTCTGCGGGGCACAGCACCGGCTTCGCTCCGCTCGCTGCAGAGGCTTCTGCAGCTCAAATGATAAGGGCATGTGAGTCTCAAGAAAAGCAGAAATCGCTGTGAGGTTGTGAATGGCTGTGGCACAAAGCACAATACTGAATGCAGAATCCCAAAGGAATTTAGTTGAAAGGAAAATAAATCTCAGTAACAGGCTCAGGTTTAGAAAAGGAATGGGGTTTTGTGTGATTTCTTTTAAGGAGAGATACTCGGATATTAAGAGGATGGGTGACTCAGAAATGCCACAGATGTTTACTATTCCACACTTTCATAAAGCCTGTCCTATAAAATATACCAAACAACTTCATAAGACTTAATGGATTGAATGTTTCAACATCCTTTGGGTCAGATGATAGCAACGTAATATTCACATTAAAGATAACATACAACACGTTCCCACAGTCATAAAGCAAAACTAGAAACAGTAAGCAGTCTAAGCTTTTCATCACTGCACAGTTAATCTGGTTAGTTGGCACATGCTTAACATATGCCAAGTACCAGCATTCACATCAAAGCCTAAGCCCGTTTCCACATCCCTGTCTGCTTCTCTTTTTACACACAAAGCCTTATCCCACAGCCCTTCATATGGAGAATATATTCTCTACAGCCAGTGGCGTTTTTGTACAGTGTAGGATCTTCCCTTGTCAGTGATGCCTGGGACCTACCTGTCCTTTATAAGATGGGAAGTGCTAGAGAACTAGCAGCAACCTAACAATCCCTGCCACCAATATATTGAAAATGTGTTCTGGCATAAACCCATCCTACCAAAATCTAGAAAAATCTATCATGACCCTGCCTGACTTTGGATCAGAAGTTTTATCTGCATGGGTAGTGTAACTGCCGGGAAAGGTACATGGCCAATAAGTGAGGGCACTTTCTCTCTGTTGCTGTAATTCTTTTGGCTTCCAAAATGTGGGGGAAAAAATTGCTTGGGAGCTGTATGCAGAACATCTCCTATATTACCTTTACGGTAATCCCCCCTCCCCTCAAGAAAACCAAGCTACTTTCCCAGAAACCAAGCTCTTGCAAAAACCTTGCATTGGCTTCTTTCAATTAGACAAATATGAAAATAAATGAAAGCAGCATCACTCAGATTTTCTACTCAATAGTTTCCAAACAAAATCAGCTGTGTGGCATATGCCACCAAAACAATAGCTACCAGATTAGCAGATGGTATGTTGTGAATTAATTGTTGACACAAACCCCAGACATACCACTCAATCCTCTCCTGACACCTAAACTTATTTCCCTATTATTTTTCTCACCTCATTATATTTACTCACAACAAGAAAAAAAAAATAGATACTCCATCTGGATTTAGACATGAAAAGTTAACCTGCAATTTATTATTACTCTGCCATCTTTAAAAAAAAAAAAAAAAAAAGGTAGTTTGATTACTGCAGAATAAAAACATGGAACAAGAAGCTCTGTAAGCCTGGACACCTCTAGATACCATAGAATCATAGAATTATTAAGGTTGGAAATGACTTCTAAGATCACTAGGGTCACTGTTTTCACCACTAAACCACATCCACAACTGCCACATCCACACACCTTTTGAGCCATTCCTGGCCAGCTTGTTCCAATGCCAGACTAACCCTTTCAGTGGGGAAATTTTTCCCAATCCAAACCTCCCTGGTGCAACGTGAGACCATTTCCTCTTGTTGTTCCTCCTAAGTTGTTACTTAGGAGAAGTGATCAACCCTCACCTTACTACAACCTCCTTTCAGGTAGTTGTACAGGACGATAAGGTGCCCCCTGAGCCACCTCTTCTCCAGGCTGAAAAACCCCAGCTCCCTCAGTGTCTCCTCACGGGACTTGTGCTCCAGACCCTTCAGCAGCTCTGTTGTCCTTCTCTGGACACGCTCCAGCACCTCAATGTCCTTCTCTGGACCCCAGAACTGGACACAGCACTCGAGGTGTGGCCTCACCAGAGCTGAGCACATGGGAACAATCACTACCCTGGTCCTGCTGGCTGCACTATTGCTGATCCAAGCCAGGATGCCACTGGCTTTCTTGGCCAATTGGGCACACTGCCAGCTTGTGCTCAGCCACTGTTGGCCAAGACTTATTTGTTCCCTCCTGCCTCCCTGGCTGCAATAAGCGGACACTCCACCAGAGTCCTCTCACTCACCCTCCAGGTACAGAGAAGTGTGAGCCAGGGCTGGTGAGTCCAGAGCTACATGCGTTACCCCAGCAGCTCACTGCTGCTAAAACTGTAATATTATCCATCACATCTCAGTTCTGCCTGCCAGTTACCTAAGGGAGCACTGATCTGTGTCCCTCCCTACCCTACAGGTATTGTTTTTTCCGAAAAAACCTTCAGTTTTCTCCCCTACTTTATAATGTGGCTGAAACTGCCCGGTGGCACTGAACTCAGTGAAGGTAGGAAGAGACGCACAAGCAGTCAGAGGCAACCACATGGGCTTTGTTTCCTCTGGACCTCAAGCAATTTTATTAATTTTACTGTTTACAAATAAAAGGAAACAAAACATCACCACACCGCAGCATTTACATAACCAAGAGTTTCCTGACACCCAAAGTCTTGGGTTTGGATCTACACAACAGAAGTTGGACACTTAAATTGTAGCATATTTTCCTGCTCAGCTGATTGTACTCCCAGAGACTGTCTCCACATGAATCACCCCTTACTCATTCCAGCACTTGGGACCAACCACAGTTCTGGGCTCCTCAGTACCACAGAGACATGGAGTGAGTCCAGTGGAAGGAAACAAAGATGACTAAGGGACCTCAGCATCCCTCCTACAAGGAAAGGCTGAGGGAGCAGGGCCTGCTCAGCCTTCAGATGAGATAATTAAAAATGGGGCTCCACAGCGTCTGTCAGTATCTGAGGGGAGGCTGCAGAGAGGATGAAGCCAGGACTGGCTGTGACCATGGCCAGGTGCGGGGAGCGGCTCAGCCATGAAGAGCCCGTCTGATCCAGCCTGCTCCTGCCCCCATCTCCCACTTACTAGTTTGGAATGCTGCGCTGTCTTCCGTGCCCTTCACTTTAAAAAGCATTGAGGTGCTGGAGTGTGGCCAGCAAATGGCAAGAAGGCTCTTGAAAGGTCTAGAAAACATGTCTTATGAGGAACAGCGGAGGGAGCTGGGGTTGTTCATTCTCAAGAAGGGGAGGCTGAGGGGGCTTTTATCCCTCTCCACAACTCCCTGGAAGGTTTTTGGGGCCAGTCTCTTCTGCTGTGCCTGCAGTGACTGGACTAGAGAGAATGGCCTTGAACTGAGAGGGGGCATTCAGATTAGACATTACAAAAATATTTTTCACTGTTAGGGTGGTCAGGCCTTGAAGTATTTCCCTGGGAAGTGGTGGAGTCACCATCCCTGCAGGTGTTCAAGAGGCCTCTGGATCTAGCGCTGGGTGATTTAGTGCTTATGGGTTACAGTGGTAGTGTCGGGTGGACGGTTGTAGTGGATGACCTGAAAGCTCTCTTCCAGCCTCGATGACTTGGGCAAACAGCGACACAGCCCCACCAAGGACAACGCACTCCTCCCGCCGCCACCGCCTCCCCGGCCCGCGCCGCCGGCCTCCGCCCAGGAGGGGGCGCCAGCGCGCAGGCGCAGCCCCGCCCCGCGGGGAGGCGCCGCTGGCTGCGAGCGGTGAGTAGTGAGGGGGGGCGGCGGGGCGGGGTGGCGCGCGTGGCGTTAGTGCCTCCCTCCCCCCTTCCCTCCGGCTTGCCCTCCGTGAGGGGGTCCCGCCGGGGTCCCGGGAGTCCCTGCTGGGCTCTTCCAAGCTGGGGCCAAACTGCCCCCTTCGTCCCGGTGACGGCGCCAGGAGCCCCTCGCCGCCCGGAATGGGGTTGTGCGACTGCCCTTGGCGCTGCCCTTCCCTTCCCAGGGAATCCCCAGCACCGTGTCTCCTCTGCCCCTCAGTAATCAGGGGTAGCCAAGGGCGTGTTTTTCCGCTTTTGCTCAGATGCTCATAGAATGGTTTGAGTTGGAAAAAAATCGTCTTTGGGTTAAAAATCATGTGGTTCCAACGCCCCTGCCAGAGGCAGGGACACCTTCCACAAGACCAGGGTGCTCATAAGCCCCATCCAGCCTGGCCTTGAACACTTGCAGCGATGGGGCATCCACAGCTTCTCTGGGCAGCCTGTTCCAGTGCCTCACCACCCCCAGAATAAAGAATTTCTTGCATGTGCTAAGTAGCTTAAATTTTCCCTCTTTCATTTTGAACCCAATGCATTTGCCCTGTGAGTGCAAAAGTGAGACCTGAGTGCTGGGCCTGCTGGGGTGGGTGGCTAAAGTGGCTGCTCTACACTGGTGCTTGGGCTGGCCTGTCATGTAGAAGGTTTTTTGTAGAAGAGTTTTTCCTAGGATTGTCTTTTTAACCAGTGGCCTGAAGACTGATGCTATTTGGTCCACAGGTAGCTAAAGCATTAGCCAATGGCAAGTGAAAAACCTACAGCCCATTATCAGGAAAATTAGATTTGCTGTATAAAGATGTGAATCTCCTAAGCTTAATTTTAGAAACATTTTAGAAATTAACAAGATTAGAAATCAGTGTGCGTAAGCTGGGACTGTTAGGTGACAACAAGGGTGATCAGTAATGTTTACACCAGTAATAATTAAATTTGATGCTGTAAGACAAACTGAGTGTGAATTTGCATCCAGTGAATGCAGCTCTTCCAGATTTTTTACAGAAATTACACTTGTTTTTCATTCTACTTCTAGGAAGTATTCAACATTAAGCAACATGTCTTCCACCAAACCTCCAAATGAAAATGAAACGCCCAAAGAGAGAAAACCAGGACTGAGGAGTGCTCAGACAACTATGCTTTTCCGAGCTGTGAACCCAGAACTTTTCATTAAACCTGTAAGACAGTAGTTCTGAGAGAAACTAAGTATGCTTGAAGAGATGCAATTCTCTGGGCATTATATAACCATCTCTTGTTATGCAAACCACTCAGAAATGTAACTAAAAATATTTTTACTTTTTTCCACTCTTGATTGTGGAGGGCGCAGAACACTACATTGCTTATTGCAACTTTTATTTCATTGCTGTATTGTCTGATTCTTTAGCCAAGTTGCTTTCAGAAAGACCTGTTTAGAGGTATATTACTCATGTAATTTGACAGGTTAAATAATGTTATTATTAAGTAATAAAAACAACAAGAGATGTTTTTAATATTTAAAAGGGAACAAGTCATAGAAGGCAAACTTTCTTGGTATGAAGTGAATTGATTTTTGGTAGCTTTTCAATATTTTGGATTTTCCTTTTTCTTGCTTTTGTAATTAAGTTGATGATACTCAGGTTTTATTTGCATTTGCAGAACCCAGAAATGAGTGAAATTTTGTGCCTATATTAAGTATAGATTTAATAAAAGTAGATTTTGTGATAAGAATACAAAGTGTGGTTTAGAGGATTGTAATCAAGCAGGACCAGAGTGCATTGTCCCAGATGAATTCTGTTAAAAGTTGTGGTGGGGACCTTCAGTAATTGGTTTTGTCCAGTTCATTCATACTCAGTCAGCATTTCTAACCAGTAAAATAGAGAGTACTGGGCAATGTGCTGTTCTGTCTCCAGAAAGAATCTTATTTTTCTAAGGGAATTCCTTTTGCTGTCAGAAAATTCAGTCTGCAAGGAAGCAGTGATGATTTTTTGCAGATGTCAGAATAGTTTACTGTTCAGTTTCTAAGCTGAGATAGATGAATGTAATGTTTGAGCTTAATGAAAAATGTTTTGACTAAAAACATTTACCATGTTTTTTTCTTGTCAGAACAAACCTGTGATGGCGTTTGGACTGATAGCAATTAGTCTCTGTGTGGCCTACCTTGGTTATTTGCATGCAACAGCAGAGAATAAAAAAGACCTCTACGAAGCAATGGACAGTGAGGGGTCCAGATATATGAGGAGGAAAACTTCCAAGTGGGACTGAGAATGTAAGAAAGGAAATCAGTAAATCACTCACAGAACTTTTCCAGGCAACTACTGTTTTTTTGTCTTTCCCTTTAAATAATGGATAAATGTCTGGCTTGCTGTTTAATCCAATTTAAGTTCCTTTATAAAATGCTGTGCCTGTGTAAATAAACTGCAGTAAAGATATATCTGAAAATAAAAGTGATTTTAAGAATTGCCCTCTATGATCTCTGAAGAGATTTTTGTCAGAAGATATGAAATCACTTTGGACCTCCAGTCAGTACCGATAAATGCCTTAGAAACTGACATGATAATTCAGCTTTCTCTTTGCTTTGATTAAATGAAGTCAGGGGTTTATCTTTTTTTTTTTTTTTTTTTAAACAGAATGAATAATGTATTTTCTGTGAAAAGTAGATATCTGTTGATAACAGTGGTGCAAGTAAACTAATTTTAAGGCAAGGAAGATCTGATAAAGCACTTGGTGAAGGGCTTTATTTCATAAAGGAAACTGTAAAATACTGGCCAAAATAATCCTTGGATGCTTAATAAACTCTTCCTTACAAATGAAAAAAGATAAATCAGTAGCCAAATAGAGAAAAAGTGAAATGGGTGCTTCTGTTAGGAGGAAGGTAGGAAGAACTCCGCCATTATCTTTCCTGTTTGGCACCATATGTCAGATCAGTGAACATGTTGGCTTCAGCCTGCCAGTTGATAGCTTTAGCTCCAGCTTGGCCAGAGTTTGTGTAATATTCCTGACTAGTCAGCAGGACTGGTTTTATTTCAACTGCATTCAAAATTTCTCTTTATTGCAAAGTACGTTATGGGGCGTTAATTTATTGCAGGTTACTGAACTCAAAATAAGGAATGGAAAGTCTGACATCCCCAGGTACTTCTGGGAGTGGTGGCTGGAGTGTGGATGGGCATTGTGGCGTTTCCCTAGCACACGTGGTGGTCCCTTGTGAGCCTTTGAGCGAACAACACAGGCAGGTGTCTTCCTGTTCCAGCACCGAGTCCTTCTCCCATGAGCTTCCCAGCTGCTTCTGGGTGCCTGATGTGTCCTAGACAGTGTCCCATTAACCAAACTCCAGAACATGTGGTGGGAGGACACATACCAGGCTGTGACCTGTTTCTGCTATGGACCACTACTGATGTTATGTTGCAGTTTTCCATTCAGTTTCTTGTATTTGCAGACCCAGCAAGGGCTCCCAGGGAGCTGAGAGACTTCTTTGTTGACCCTCTTCTGACCAAGGTGGCTTCTGTCAGGCCAGAAAAGGAACATGCAGGAACTTCTGCTTTACCATTCTGAGAGTTGCTTTGGGTTTTATCAAAAGATTTTGGTACTGAAGATAAAAAAGGTGACTGGGTGCCTTGAGGGACAGCAATTGCACCATGGGATTTCTCTGTATCTCCCTCTAAGTCCTTCACTTTGAATCTGAGTTTACTTCTGTTCTTGTTTTATAGTTTACTGTATCTGAAATTCAGCAGGGCTTTGGTTAAACTGCCCCCTTCCTGAGAAGGGAAGTGAGCTCCACCTATAATAAGGCTTTTTTTTTTTTTTAAAAAAAAAGGGTGGTTTTGCAGCCTTTAAAAGCAGATTTCCCTCTGTGAGCCTGGTGCCCTACAACAGCAAGGTTCCTGGGCAAATCTAAGTTTTCAGGTGAGGAATCTACTTGCCTTTTGATTGGTGAAGGAATTTCTGGGTGAAATGATCAAATATTCAGAACTCTCACATGCTGTGCATATCATGCAGAATATATTTTGTTTGATGTTTGTGAAGGATCTTTAGAATAAATCTGTTGTTTTAAAAATGGTCACACAGGCTTTTAGCTCTTTTCAGTTCATTAAAATGCAAAAAATGTATGTTTGCTTGAATTTAACTAACTTATTCCCAGATAAGTGGTACAAGTAAGTATTTTTACCTGTTTTTCTATAGGCTTTTAGAATACATGCTTTGATCCTCTGCAGATGAATTGAAAGCCCATTCTCATATTTTCACATGTTTGAGAATAATGCAAGATTTGTGTTCTCAAGATTTTCAGTTATGTTTTGTGAAGTGAATATGGGTCTGGCAGTTACTGGGGAAAAGAAAGCAGGACTGGAGGCATAAGGAGATAATAGACTGACCTGGACAGGTGTAGGCATGTACATGCCAGTGACACTTCTTACAAAAGCTGTCTGAGATAGGGCCTCTTGAATGTTGGCTGGAATCAAGTCCCGTTGACCAGGTTACTTTAGAACTGTGAGGCTGAAGGAAGAATGGATATTTAAATTTGTCCTATTTTTTTCTTTGGCAGCTGCTGTACAGATAACTCTTAATGATACACAATTTATATATAAAAAAGAGATAAAGCAGTGCAAATACGGAGAGGTATGTGGTAGGTTAATAAATATTACAGTATCAACACAGGCATTTGCTGTTTTAAGTTCCTGATTTTTATCATAAGAACAATGTGTGTATAGGGATTAAAAGGAAAAAAAACAAACACCCCAACAAAACTGCTTTGATACCAACATTTTTTTGCTCAGCTCTGAAAGCGTGACACCCCTTATGCATATATATACACAGCACCAGTATAGTTTCTTTTGTTCTGTGTTTTTCAATTTCAGTCTTCAGTATGGTGATAATTATCTATAAGGGATGATAACTGGCTTGACAAAAACTGTGAGTCAAAATTGTTTCCTGGGCAGAGGCTCTTTGAGATTTTTGCCAGTTCCTTACTGTCTGTGCTGACTTTCACATCTTTTACCAAGAACAGCAACAAAATGCTACGATTAAAATATCCAAAACTGTAGGTGTTGTACTGTACCTAAGATCTCCTTAGACTACGTGGTGTGAATGGGACTTGTTGGCATTCAACAACAAAAAGCAATTAAACAAAAGTCCAAAGCCTACTGTGATGCTGCTTAACTATTACCAGGGAAAGTTAGTTCCTTGTGGGTGAAACCAGCCCTTCCCCAGTAACAGTTGCTACATAGGAAGCTGCATTCAGGCTGGAGAGGGTCACTTCATGAAACCCTCCGCAGGAATAGAGTTCTGACACTCTAGTAACTATTACAGAATGACACTGGAAGACCACAATGATTAGAAGTTCTGATCTGGATTCCTTTGTTGTGCTGTGTGTTCAAAAAGGGTGCCGCCACCACCTCCCAGTGCTGCTTTTGATCAGATTCAGGAGTATTCCAGAGCACAGTATTAAACTCATCATAAGATACTGAGAAAGTTCATTTCTGAAATTCCTTTCTTTTGTTGCAATCTGAGATTTAGGAAACCTCCAAGTCCTCTTGATTCTATGTGCTCTGGCCAGTCATGAATGCGTTTACATCTTAGTAAGAAAGAATTGCTGCATATTAGTAACTCCAGTATATTCAGGGGGAACAAGATCAGCTGTTCTGTGGTGCATGAAGCATTCTGAGATGGACATAATGAAGTGTGAAAGGCAAAGGAGCTGCAGGACCATTAGCAAATGTTTTCTGAAGCTCAAGTACTTAGCTGAGAACTATGTTTGATTTAACATTTGCGCAGATCATCCCATCATCCTTCCAACAGGACACAGCTGGGATGTTTAATCCTGAATCCCACCTTCTTACAACTGATTCTGGCTCCTGACCTTAGACTGAAGCTCTCTCTTGAGGTTTGATTTTTTTCAAGGCATACCACAATGATAACCTCCGTGATGAAGGGGTCGTGGTAGCATTCATACATTTGAGGATCTAGGAAGAATCTGAAGTATATGCTGTGCCTGATTGTCTTAGAAGTTTCTGATCAGCAGTGTAAAGTTTTGTAGAAATCACATTATGCCTGGTTTTTTAATGTGTGTTATGAAGATGAATGTTTGGTTTCTATTTTAAACGATATCAAGAGTTTATCAATGTCCTGAGAGCCCTGGCAGCAGGGCTTCAGCCTTGCATTGACATGCACAGTGTGAAACACAGCCAGAAGGCCAGAGGCCTTCTCTTTTTCAATAATTTTCTCTTCCCTGCTTGATGAAATGGACAAGGGAAGAGCTGTGTTATCAAGGCACAACATGCTTTCATTCATTGACATGCACAGTGTGAAACACAGCCAGAAGGCCAGAGGCCTTCTCTTTTTCAATAATTTTCTCTTCCCTGCTTGATGAAGTGGACAGGGGAAGAGCTTTCATCACTGTGGAAATAGCCAGCATGACAGAACTGAGTGCTTGACAGCCAAGATTGTAATTGTGAATAATAATTTAAAAAAAAAAAGTTTTGTTTGGATTTTTTGGGGGGCTTTCATTACTGTGGAAATAGCCAGCATGACAGAACTGAGTGCTTGACAGCGAAGATTGTAATTCTGAATAATAATTAAAAAAAGTTTCATTTGGATTTTTTGGGGTTTTTTTAATGTTTGCCATAACCAGGACTTTTATTCACCTGAGATCTGAACTCCAGTGCCAGAAGAAGTACTTAGCCTGAAAAATGACTGGCTTTGTGCTTGATGAGATGTGAGCTTGAGCTGCCTGGATTTTTAATTTACTTTCAGAACATGTCACTACTTTTTTATTGCATGGAGCTGATGGACTTCATTGTAAGTTCATTTTCGGGCCTTGTTTCATGATTAAGTACATTTCCTAAGGGCAATAAAGTACAGGCTTAACTTCAAATCTGTCCTGAAGGTTTGTGTCCATCAAGACTAGTAAAGTGTTTAACAGATTGGCTGAACCTGGACAGTAAGTGAGGTGGAGGAGAAGGAAAGCTGCCAACATACGTATATTCCTAAATGAAGCATGCCAGCTGTAGGTTTATGTTTCTCTGTATGCTTGACTCATGCTTTGTATGGCTTTTTGAATGTCTGAGAAAAGACTGAAATACACAAAGAGATCCTTCTGGATCTGAGCCTTCCTGCTTTCTGCACCGCTTCTCGGAGCTTTTCACTGCCGGAGCACCCGAGCGCTCCTCAGCCAGGCGTTACTCAGCACGTCTGACACCTGTCATCCGTAGTCTTGCAGCCTCCCACCAGATGATGAACGGCTCACAGAGAATTGCTGGAGTGTTTTGCTTTGGAATTTTATTTTATACAAGTTTCTAAATGGCTATCTGTTTATACTGCAGGCAGTCAGAGAAATGTACTTGGCATCTCAAGAGGAAAAGCAGGGAGGTTTACAGTGGTCTTAAGTTTTCAACATAGTTCATTCCATTTTATGGAGCTGCTTTCCAAGGGAGCTCTGTCTCTTGCTGTCATAGTGTCTGTTGACA